TTGACCAGTAGCCAGGCAGGAAGTATAGGTGGGACAACCAGACAGGAAGTAGAGGTGAGGCAAGAACAGGAGTATTCTGAGAAAAAAGGAAGCTCTCTCCACAGTCCTCTCCAGACACCAAAGAAGCAGGATGTGACCTGCCCTGCTGAAAAAGGTACGGAGCCATGTGGCTACATAGATAAGAATAATGGGTTAATATAAGTTATAAGAGCTAATACAAAGCCTGAGCTAATGGGCCAATCAGTTTATAACTTATGGAGACCTCTGTGTTATTTTCTTTGGGGCATAACAACTGTGGGAACTGGGCAGGACAGAACCCTGACAACAAGCAGGCCCTCATGTTACAATTGGAAATTCATTTTCCTCTTTCCTTCAAATACTTTTCAAATTCCCCCAATTTTTGATTAAACAGTAAGTATTAATTAACTCAGTTTCTCTGTGTAAGGAACTCAGGACAAGGATGGCTAGATGGTTCAGAGCCAGGAAGGGCATGAGATTACAATCAAGATGTTGTACAAGCCACCTAACTCCTGACTGGGGCTGGGGAGGATCCACTTCTTGAATAGTTAACTCACCAGTTTGACCTCCAGTCAGAGGCTTCCAGTCCTCCTCACAGAGATCACCCTACTTCCTTACAACACGGTAGCTCACTTCTCCACAAGATTTCTCATGACACATCTCCTTCCCAAAGAAGAATAAAGAAAAAAGACAAGTTTTTTGTGGGCAGACCCAGGAAGCTATATACTACCATCCAACAATAGCCAGCCCTAATACTATAGACAAGAATTACCCAAGACATGAGATGCCCACTGAGGGATTCTTGAAGGTCATCTTCCATACAGCCTCTTCTTCACAGGTCCAATTTCCAGATCTTTGGGTCCCAGTATAAAGTTTGCTAACACAAAGGAAACTCAGAACATTTCAGACACAGGCTATTTGTGGTTTAATGATCCTCTGCTTTGATAGGACACAGGGACCCAACTGGAGGAAGCAAGTGTCTGAGTCTCCTTCACCTCCTGTCAGGATCTAGAGCCTTATGGTGGTTTCAGTGAGAAGGGTTCAATATGCTCCTATGTTTGAACACTTGGTCCCAAGTAGTAGGTGGAAGTGTTTGGAAAGGATTTAGGATATGTGACGTTGTTGGAGGAGGTGTATCACTGAGGGAAAGCTATGAGGTTTCAAAGGCCCACACTGAGACCCATTCCCAACCCCCACCAGCTACAACACTCAGGAAAGCAGGCCCTGCATCTCACCAGAGCAACACAGTAGAGCCAACCCTGCTACTGCAGGTGTGGGGAAGCCAGCTCTGAAGTTGTAAGCATGAGAGAGTTGTTCCCACTTCATATCTGGCAGACCAACCCTAGAGCTGCCCAGGCCTGGACCCAAGGGTATGACTTGGCCTGCCACATCATCCATCCCATCTATGATCTGCTAAAGCATGTGAAGGGACCTGACCCGCAGACCCAAAGCTGCAGGATCTCCACAACACAGGACAACAATAGATATCCAGGAGGAGCCCTAATGAGGGCTCAGCATCAATAGGGTAGTAGAAACCAGACCAATGACTCTGCAATGGACAAAGGGGTTCACGGCGTGACTCACTGTGTCACACTGTAGTTTCCATGATGAGATTTTTAAGTTTTTCCCTTTTTTATTTCATTTTCTTTTATTTTTTTCTTTCCTTTTTTCTCTTACATTTTGTCTTATTTGAGGGGTAATAAGACAAAGGGCAGAGGGCAGAGTCAAAGGGACAGGGAAATGAATGGGATCAAGATACATGATGTAAAAGTGTAACATGAGGGGCCTGCTTGTTTGTTGGGGTTTTCTGTCCTGCCTGGTTCCCACAGCTGTTTAGCCACAAAGAAAATCACACAGAGGACTCCATAAGTTATAAAGCTGATTGGCCCATTAGGTCAGGCTACTTATTAGCTCTTGTAGCTTATATTAACCCATTATTCTGATCTATTTTAGACACCTGGCTCAGTACCTTTTACAGCTGGCAGGTCACATCCTGCTTCCTCAGTAGTCTGGGCTGGACTGGGAGGAATCAACTTCCTCCTTCCCAGAATTCTCCTGTTCTCATTGCATCACTTCTACTTTCTGTCTGGTTGTCCCACCTATACTTCCTGCCTGGCCAATCGGTGTTTATTTAAAACATGATGGACAGATTACAGATAATTCTCCCGCACCATAAAAGATACATAGAGTAAGTACATACACATTATATACATACATACATACACATTCCCATGCCATTCCCAGTCTCTCCCTCCATCCTTTCCTCCACCTCATAAATGGAGAACGAGATGTGAGCTCTCAGCTACACTCCAGGGTTATGCCTGCATGTCCACCTGCCTGTTGGCATGCTCTCCAACATAACAGTAATGAACTCTGACCCTCTGGGACCACTGTAAGCCCCAAATTAAACTTCTTATTTTATAAGTTATCTTTGTCATGCTATCTTAGCATAGCAATAGAAAAGCAACTAAGACAGGCATACACACACACACACAAGAATTAAGTCAAAACATCATTATCAACCAGAGGAGGGGTAGTTAGGACATGCTAAAGCCATTCCATTGAGCTTATGAAAGGGCAGAGAACAAAATGTAAAATGGAGAGCATGTCTTTAGAAACGTCTAGTGGTTCCAATCCAAGCTCCCCCCACTACCACCGCCGACTTCTTTCATGCTTGTTATTTTTATTACGCAATTAGCTTTGACTATATATTATCTGATTGTCAGATAATGACAATTGCTTTGGTGAGCAGCTTAGTACTTATTATATATTCTGGGAATAATTATATCTGTGTCTAAATCCCCCCAAGTAAGTCATAAATTCCTTGAAGTAGGAAAATTACTAAAGCTTATTGCTCCCCAAAAACACATCCCTCAGCACACATTTACCCATGTACTACCAATACACATATAACAGGGACCGTGCCCATAACGACCAAGAAATATGGCCCTTTTCAAAAATAGTAATTAAATGGAGACTCTCATTCTTAAGGGAGAGACAGGAAAAGGACATCTGCAACATAGAGACCCCCCTGCAAAAGAGCAAGGTGAGAGGGGGATGGGGGATGGGTGTGGCCACAGTGCTCTGTATGAAACTGTCAAAAAGAAAAGTTCTAAAAGAAATTGCTTTAAGCCTCTTGGGAAAACAAAAGCATAAACTCAAGAAATAGTCAAATTAATAAGGAAAAATGTTCTTTATCTACTTTAATTGGTGGTTGTGTGAATATATACATGTGTAAAAATTCTCTGAAGTGCGTATACGTGGCATGTTTTAGTGTGTGAATTACATTGCAATAAAAAGATGAAGTTTTAAAAGAAGTTGTACATAAAATCCAGCACAGTCCTCCCGCAATTAAAGAACCCACGAACACCCTGGAGACTCAGCGTCTTGGAGTATATCTTGCCGATGCATTCTGCTTACTTTTTTTTCCATCCATTTACTTAACATTTTGAACACCATAATCAGGCTCCAATTAAAATGAAAACATTCAGCAAATCAGTCCTGGTACCAATGAAACCAGGAAACCCGGTTCAACAAAGTAACTCCACAGTGGGAGATGAGAACACGCAGAGCCTAAGTCCTCCTGAGGTCCAGATAACATCACACTAATCAGAGTGAAGGATTCTGTCGGTGTTGTGTCAAGGGCTGACTTGGTTAGTTAGTTGCAGAGGACCTAGTCAGAACCCTGGGAGAGGTTTTTCTTACAGAAACACTCAGCCAAAACAGAAAATTAAATGAGGCCCCTGGCATTGGGACACAGCTGACACAGGGACCCTGAGCCCTGCCCTCCCTGGAAGGAGCAGGCAAGGAGAGGAACGTTTAGGGAGCCAACTGGCCTTTCCATTGGGAAACCTGGGTGGGAATGACAAAGGTGTTTTTAGCCTTGCAGAGACTCAGAGGGGAGAGCACACCGCCATTAGCCTTGCAGAGACTCAGAGAGGAGAGCACACCGCCATTAGCCTTGCAGAGACTCACAGGAGAGCACACTGCCAGCAGTTCAGGGGCTGGAGAGAAGAAACAGTCTCCCCAAGAACTCTTCCCACTGGAGAAGACAGGCTTGGAGCTCAATCGCAAGGTGATAAGGGATGGGCACAGAATGCAAAGAGATGAGGGATGGGCACGGATATATGTGGGAAGTTCTTCCCTGACCAGTGAAAGGAACAGAAGAAGAGAGAAGGCAAAGGACCCCAGAAGTGATGCCCTCACGGAGGCAGTTTCTGGAAGTGTCCCTTCCAGAGGCAGCACAGCCCGATACCATGAAGAACGTCAACGGAGAGAAGTGGGGTGACCGGGTGGCTCACAGGCCACACAGTCAGGAGGAAAACTGGGCAGCTAGGGGTGGAGAACTCTGGGGGCAGTACCAGCCAGGAAATCTTTCCTCAGAACTCTAATGGAGTGAGAGATCTGGCGGCCCCTAACGCCTGGGAGACCAATTGTCTGCATAGGCTGTCCACTTTGGGGAAGGAGAAATCCTCACATTTTGCTGAAGCCATAGGGACAGAGGTGCCATAGGCAGGAATGAAGGCATTCTAGAGACACTTGTGTCCCTCTAATGCTGAAACAAGGACTCCAACATATTGGAATTTCCCCAGGAGTCTCATGCTGGAGTAGGGAAAGGCTGGGAACCTAATGTCTGCTTGATGGGGAACTTGTCTCCCAGCAAGATTTCTTGCCAAATTCTGACAACTTATCTCCTGGTATGAGAGACAAAAGCAGAGGCTATGGCGATGGGCAGGACCACACCTTGCCCAGGAATGCTCGGGTATGCACGACTCTTACTCTGAACTTAAACCTAAACCTCGTGCCAGGACCCCAGAGGTAGATTGGGGGAGGGGCCGGACCCCTTTTTCCCTCTTACTAATGCAGCACTGAATAAGCCTCCGCCTGCTCTCGCTGTCGCTCTGTCTATTTAATTTAATTATTTATTTGAGGACAAGCAGTCACGGTTGGCTTGTCATGGCTGCCAAGGCCCAGGGTCTCACCCTAATGACTCTAGAAGCAAAGGAGGGAAGAGCATCTTCACGGCCAGGTGCTGTGCGCTGAGGTCAATGTGTCCTTGGCCAAGCTGACCAACCTCTCTAGGCCTCGGGTCCCTGGAGGACGAAAGGGATACAAAAATAGCATCCACATTTGGTTACTGGAGAAAGCACACAATATGGACAGGGCCCGATACAAGGTTAACACAATAATTCCCACAATTACCTGCAGTCAGATTCGCCGGTACCTCGTTCAAAAGACCAACACGCACTGCTGTGAGCCTAGGGGAGACACAGCTCAGGACAGAGGTCTGCACACACACCGCAAGAACAATACTGATAAACCCTGTCTGACCCAGGCTAGAGTGGCTGAGGGAGCAGGACCTTAAATAAGGAGGTGTCTGAACTGAGAATAAAATTAAGAAAATACCCAGGGTTTTAAACAAGGCGGTGTTTGGAAGGGGGGGGCAGTTGTGTGACCAGGATGGCATTTCCTGTTTGATTGTAGGAAAGCATTGTGCTGTTGAAGATTCTAGAGAACCTTATCCTCCTCGGTAACTCAGTTTTCTCATCTCTGAAATGGGGTTGCTTTGACCACCTATCTTGTGACAATTCATTAACATATTAAAAGTGCTTGCACAAATACATACCACGAATCAACTGCTCAGTTATTGTTAGCTCTTATGATGTTGACTGTAATTACCATATGCCATTTCAAGTTGCCACAAAACAGCCCTCCCCCCTATCGCCACGCCCTTTTTTAACAGTCCCAGCAATAGGAAAATGAAAACAATAGCCCTGGACATAGTAATTCCCTCTTACTACAAGAACTCAAGAGGACACCAACAATGACTGCTTAGTCAATTATAAGTGATTACCCACCCACACCTGCGTGCCCAGGCGGAAGTAGTTTTGTCACCTATTTAAACCCTTGTGCATAAACAGTGGCGATTATGCCCTGAAGAGAGACAGGGGCAGCTGGCCCACGGTGCAGTAACTACAGCACACCACCAGGGAGCAGCAGAGCCCAGCCCTAGGCTGTTTTAACTCCAGGAGCAATTAATTTGTCCCAGGTTTCCTTCGTGTATTCGCTCCCAGCTGCAAAGATCGAGATTGTTGTTGATTATCCAACCTATCCACACGGGTCCGGCTCCCGACAGCAGAGCTTCGCTGCTAGACTAGGAGCCGTCTTAGCCCCGCCCCCACTGCTCAGCCAATCCCGGACGGAGGGGAGCGTCACAGGGGCGGGCCCAAGGGACCACGTGGCCGGCTAATGCAAGTGCAGAGCGGGGACCAGAAGCCAGCCCCCAGGGGTGACCAGGTCGCAGAGGCGGAATAGCAAAGACCAGCCTCACCCTGAGTACCCTCCCCCACGAGATGGGCGTGCAGCCCCCCAACTTCTCCTGGGTGCTCCCGGGCCGGCTAGCCGGGCTGGCGCTCCCGCGGCTACCCGCGCACTACCAGTTCCTGCTGGACCTGGGCGTGCGGCACCTGGTGTCCCTGACGGAGCGTGGACCCCCTCACAGCGACAGCTGTCCGGGCCTCACGCTGCACCGGCTGCGCATCCCTGACTTCTGCCCGCCGGCCCCGGAACAGATCGACCAATTTGTGAAGATCGTGGACGAGGCCAACGCCCGGGGAGAGGTCAGCCCGTGAGCCAAAGCGAGAGGGCGGACCTGGAAGGAACTGAGTGGGCGGGGCCTGGATGGAGGGTGGAGTCAGAAAGGGGGAAGAAGAGGCTGTGGGGCGGGGCGAGGAGGGGTGGGGCGGGGCCAGGTGGGGCCGGGCTGGGCTGGAGTTAGATGGAACCCACCCACTGACCAGAGTCAACTATGCTGCTAGAAGAGAGGGAAGGTGATGCCAGGATTCTGGTCGTTTTCTAGAGGGCCACATGTCATGGAGACACACTTATAATTTTAAATTTTATCAGCAGCTACGTTTTAAAAAAAAAAAATGAAAAGAAGCAGATGGAGTTAATTTTTGCTACTAATCCAATAAGTCAAAAATATTATTTCAACATAGACTCGATATGAACTCAATTATTAATTAATAAGGCATTTCCAGTCTTCTTTACATGCCATCTTCAGAGCCTGGTAAATATTTTACACCCAGTCTCAGTTTGGACTGACACATTTCAGGTAAAAATACCACCACAGGTGGCTGGATGTTCTGTACTGGACAGCACAGGTAGAAGGGGTGAGAGATGCAGGCTGAAAGCCCAACTTGGGAGCCAGCCACTTCAGAGGCCTCCTAGTCACCCAGATGCAAGGACAGTCCTCAACAGCTTTGATGTCACTTATCCTCTGAGGGCCTGCGATTTGTGGAAAGAATGATATGTTTCAGTGGGGACAGGAGGCAGTGTGGGAGGGCACTTGACTCCATGAGTTTCCTCTTGACAGGCTGTTGGAGTTCACTGCGCCCTGGGCTTTGGCCGCACTGGCACCATGCTGGCCTGCTACCTGGTGAAGGAGCAGGGCTTGGCTGCAGGAGATGCTATCGCTGAGATTCGGCGCCTGCGGCCAGGATCCATTGAGACCTATGAACAGGAGAAAGCCGTTTTTCAGTTCTACCAGCGAACAAAATAAGGGACTCGCCCACTCTCCTGCTGCAGATGGAAGGGAAGTGCACTCAAGTATCTGCATCCTTCAGCTCCCTTTGCCTCCTGCTGGACAGAAGTAGTCTTTCCCCGAAGCCACAACCTGAGTGACAGAGTGGCTGAGACCCCATGAATATGAGTTAATATCTAATAAGAACTCATTTACGCGGCATAGAATTTCCATAGCACTCCCAATACATCAACTCCATGTAGCCCTGGGTCATAGAAAATATAAAAACCATTTCTGTTCTTTGGATAGGTGACTAGAGCTCAGAAAGGCTTATGGTCACAATTCTGGAAAACAGAAGTATGGGCCAGGACTGCAACACACACCTTTGTCTCCTTGAAGATGCTGAAATTCTAGGTGCTGACCCCTGGTCTTATGGTTTCTGGAGAACCGGTCAATGAAGGAGCTCCCAGTCCTTGGCCACCGCGGCTCTACACTCCCACACCAGGAGGGCCCTTGTTGATGTCAGCGTTGTTCCTCTCAGGGTACAGAAGGCTCGGATGCCACAGATCTTCTTCTCCTCTCCCTCCTTCCCGCTCCCCCCCCCCCCCAGAGCTGGCCACTCTTACCAGCCTTAGATACACTCAACTCATCTGTTACATCCAGCCCCTATGTCATCCCCAACCTCAGGCCCAGGAATGCCGGAACTGCATCTTGGTGTTTAAACAAAGTGGATGTTAAGTAATCAAATAAATAACTCCGGGGCTATGACTTTTGGCTGTCTTTCCCAGATGTTGTCTTCTTCTTCACTTCTCCCCTGTTGGATTCCATCCTGCCATTAGCGCCACACTTTGGACTTTCTGAGAGATGCGGTGAACGTCATACATGAGCCCAGTGGACTCTTTTATAATGTCAGCCTGAATTCTTGCCCTGTCTTCTGCCATATAGGCTGATCTGAATGAGGGAAATTCGCCCTGAGATACACATGGAGTGCCTGTGTGAACTCAGTGTGTCTGTTAGAGGGGGAAGTGATTCAGCAAAGTAAGACATGTTCCTATTCTCAGGGGCCCGGCCTTTCTGGAGATGAGGGGTAATGACAGTCCATTCCCACACAATGGATACTAAAGGCCGTCTCTGCTATTCCAAGCACAGGACAGAGTGGTCAAGGATTCCCCTATAGCCTCCATCTCTTGCATCAAAGACCAGGGCTGTGCCTATGCCATCCCCTCCCAGGACTTCTTTCTCCATCCTCTGCTGCCCCTAACTGAACATTACCCAGCTCACCCTTACACAAAAGGCTTGGTTAAGCAAGAAACATAAGCTGCAGTCACCCAGAATCCTTTCTGTGTCTGATGTGGGCTATCCACTCCTTAACTATTGCCTTGGATCCTATCTAGCCCTCCCAGAGGAAATAGATCAGCCAAAGAGAAGAAACTCAAAAGTTCCAGGCGTTTAGCCTGTGATGGAGGAAAAAGGAAGTATACCCTGGCCTTCCTCCCACCATCCACTCTGCCACTCCCACACCTGCCCATGATGCAAGCCAGAACACCCACCACACACAGGGAGTGTGCATGTCTATGTAACGTTTTCCTGGGGAGGGCATGGCCCAGGAAGAGAACGAAAGGCACATTTCCTCCGCCCTTGCCGTTCACTGCAGAGCTTACCCATATGGGGAGGAAATGGGAGGCTGCAGCTGCACCCAGAGTTGCCTCTCCTCACCAGCCCTGATCAGCTGGCCCCCCCTCACCCTTTCTGAGGTCTGCTCCTCCCCATATCCTCTACACTCCCAGAGCAGATTCTGCTCTTACCTTCCTCCCAAGGCTCCTTGGAAGGAGACAGAAAATTTTCCTAACCCCATTAAAGCCCTGTGTGCAGTTCCCTCCCCATAATTTAAGCAAGTCTCCTCTGCCTCAAGAGTTCCTTAGGGAAATAAACATATAATTATGTGCTTAAGGAAATCGCTTTTAAATAAGTAAGAGTTGACTTCAAATGAAAAACTCTGCCCTTCTCCTTCTGTCTACCTTGAGGGGTTAGCCAGGAACTCCATTTGTGCTCATTTAGGCCCCCAAGAAGTTTTAGCTTTCTACCACCCTTTCTCCTGTATTTGTTCCTGCTCATTTGTGCTCCCAGAACTTTTACCTTCCCCTACCTTTTCTCCTGTACTTGTCACCAATGAAAGGGCACACATTAGCCGTGGCCCCTCCCTTGTGCATCTTGCACTGGTGCCAGGAACAACACATCTGCGTTTTCACCAGGCCAGGGCTCCTCATGCTCAACACTCCTAACATTTTGTAACTGAAACTGGATAATTGGAGGTGGGGAATCTATACCATAGGATGTTTAACAGTGTCGCTGGTTTGCTTTCACTAGACGACAGTCACATGTTGTCAGGGTTTCCTGTCCTGCCCAGTTCCCACAATCGTTAAGTCCCAAAGAAATTACACAGAGGTCTACATTAGTTATAAACTGATTGGCCCATTAGCTCAGGCTTCTTATTAACTCTTATAACTTACATTAGCCTGTTATTCTTGTCTATGTTAGCCATATGGCTCGGTACCTTATTCAGTGGGGCAGTCACATCTTGCTTCTTCTGTGGCTGGGCCAGGACCACTTCCTCTTCCCAGAATTCTCCTGTTCTCCTTTACCCGCCTCTACTTCCTATCTGGTTGTCCTGCCTATACTTCCTGCCTGGCTACTGACCAATCGGCATTTATTTAAAATATAATTGACAGAATACAGACAATTGTCTCACAGCAGCCACCCACCCCTCTCTGGCTATGACAACCAAAGATACCCCTCAACATTGCTACATTTTCCCCATGAGAACAAAACCTGCCTCAGTGAGAATCATGACAACAGACCAACATGCAGGTCTCGTTCTCTCTAGAGCAGAGGAACAGATTGGGGTCTTATGTATATGTACACATCATAATAGGGGAACAGAGACCAACTCATACTGCCACCTTCCCAACCAACGTCTGGAAGTCAAGTTATTCCTGGATTCTCAGCTCTCTACAGGCTTGTTTTCCAGCCAGATCATAAGCGCCACTGGCACTCTATGTCCAGAAGGATTATGTCCCCAATGGGCTGCTGAGGAATGTAACTGAAACAGTTTCCCCCCTGTTCTGGTTTGGTCTCTGTTCCTGGGATAAACATGACTGGCTTAGTCATGGTTTCTAATGCCAAGAAGAGACACTATACCACAGCAACTCTTATGAAGGAAAGCATTTAATTGGGGCTGGCTTACGGTTCAGAGGTTTAGTTCATTGTTGTCACAGCAGAAAGCATGGCAGCATGCAGGCAGACATGATGCCGGAGAGGTAGCTGAGAGCTCTGCATCTGGATCTGAAGGCTGCAGGAGACAGAGCAGACACTGGGTCTGACCTGAGCTTCTGAAACCTCAAAGCCCACCCCCAGTGACACACTTCCTTCAGCAAGGCCACACTCCCTAATAGCACCACTCCCTGTAGGCCTCTGGGGGCTATTTTCATTCAAAACACACAATAACCAAACACAGCTTGGGAAGGAAAGGGTTTGTTTCATCCTATACAAGTGACGGTCCATCACTGTCTTTGTTAGGGTTTCTGCTGCTGCGATGAAACGCCATGACCAAAAAGCAGGTTGGGAAGGAAAGGGTTTATTTGGCTTATACTTCCACATGCTGTTCAGTATTGAAGGCAGTCAGGACAGGAACTCAAACGGAGCAAGAACCTG